GGAGGCAGTGGTTGGGGGCACCAAGCCTGTGAACCCGCCAGGAGACTATGCTTAGTCCTGAGGCCGTGGGAGTCACGGCCCAGCTTTCAGCAGGGAAGGTCCGGGGTCTCGCCAAGTCCCCTCAGGCCACTGTGTGGGGCTTCATGGGAGGGCAGTGGCCTGCTGGGGGAAGACTGCAGGCTGGCAGATGGGGTGAGGGTGCATTTGCTAGGCCAAGCCCTGGCAGGAAGGGCAGCTGCACAGCGCCCTGGTCTCAGCTCCAGTCCGGCTGGACTCCTGGCTCCTGGCGGCCTTGGCAAAGGCTCTTGGCCAAGCAGCTCTGCCGGCAGTTCCAAGTCCTCCAGTGCGGCCAGATGCTATGGCTCGGCCCTGCCGCCCCAGCGGGAGTGGGCGGGGCAGGAGGGGAGGTGTCATCTTGCCTGAGTGGTCCCAGATGCTGAACTCCAATGCATGTGCAGCCCCAGGAAGCTGCTAAGAGGATTACAAGTCAAAAGTCAACCCAAGTTCTTCAATAAATACAACCGGGAGATGCCGTCAGAACCTGCTTGGGGTTGCACAATAAAAGCCGATGATTAAATGCCACCTTGTAAACTGCCCCGGGGCTCTACATTCTGAGCGCAAGGCTGGCTCCAAGGCCTGTTTGTCTGCAGCCAGAGGAGAGCTGCATGGCCTCAGAGCGCTGGTTATGCGCAAAGGGCAACCCTTCTCCACACAGGCCCTCAGAAACGCATTTATCCCCGCTTTTACCACCCCGTGGATGGACATTTATCCGCTCCGTGCAACTGAGCTGCCTTAACGTGGACCTGAGAAGATGCAAGGGTTCCCCTGAGGAGTGGTGATCCTCCGTCACTGAAGGTACGCAAGAAGGACCCCGAAGGTTATAGGAGATTCACACATCACATGGGTCCTTGTCACATTTCATGTCATCTACAGAGGCCACACACCGGCCCAGGCCCCTGCCCTGCGAGGCTCTGAGCCTGGAGGAGATGGAGATCACGCAGAGAAGCTGACCGACAGTCACAGCTGTGTGCAGGGCCCACCGGAGACCCTGGGTGTGCTCACCAGGCAATGAAGGACGACGGGGCACAGTGGCCAGGGCAGGCAGCTTAGGGGCGGTGAGACATCCAGGAGAACCCACTACACGAAGGCAAGGGAAGGAAACTCCGGGTAGTGGGCACTGTGCATGCAAAGGCCCCGAGGCGGGAAAAAGACCAGTGAGGCTGGAGCACAGGGGACCAGGAGACAGTGGGAGACGGCACCGAGGGTGGTGTGGGCCAGGTGGCAGGCGCAAGGCCCTGTGAGTCAAGGTAAGTGTTGAAGTGCCTTGCGGGGAAGCCTGCAGGTGACGGGCAGGACAGATTGACCAAGGTGATCCTGGCTGCTGTGTGAGAAGTGATGGAAGGGAGGATGGTGGGGGGAAGTCAGAGCGCCCCAGGAGACATTTTGTGGGTGAGCTGAGAGGACTCCTGGGGCACAGGGGAATGAGGGGTGGAGGGGAGTGAGGGGCGGAGGGGAGTGAGAGGCGGAGGGGAGTGAGGGGTGGAGGGGAGTGGAGGCGGAGGAGAGTGAGGGGCGGAGGGGAGTGGGGGCGGAGGGGAATGAGGAGCAGAGGGGAATGAGGGGTGGAGGGACGGAGGGGATCGAGGCTCCCCACTGAACATCCTGGTGCTCCTCTCAGTGGGGCTGGGAGAGTGGAGCCCGAGGCTGCTCCACAGGCATCTCCACACAACTCTAGCTCAGGAGACACCTGAGGGCTGGAGATAGCGCCCAAAGGCCCAGCACCTGGGGAGGACTTAATGGCAGCTGAGCTCACGGGGAGGGGCGTGGTGAGAAGGGACCAAGGAGACCCTCCTGCCTATAGAGGGTGAAAGAAAGTGGAGGAGCTGACACGGGGAGGGGAGAGGAGAGCACAAGGAACCTCAGCCCACAGGAGGCTGCCCTCACCAGGCAAGACTTCCTCCCAGAAATGCCCGGCAGCGCCTGGCACACCACTAAGTGTGGCCGGCACCCAGCAACTTCTGGCCAGGAGGGCGGAAGCCTGGCTACGCTGCTGGAACACTCCGTGGAGGCTGAGCCTGATGGAGCCGGGGGCCCAGGCCTGACCCGACTCCCAGTCTTGGGGCCCTGCCACCCCTGCAGAGGAAAAGCCCCACAGAGCATAGCCTTCAAAGCCAGCTAGACCCAGACCAGGCCCCGCCGGGTCACTTCCTGACCATGTGACCTCAGAGCAGTCCCTCACCCTCCTTGGCCTCCGGCAACACATCTGCGCTGCCTGGGAAAGGACCAGGCTTGCCGTGGGAAATGAGGCAGGACTGGGGAGAGGCCGGGCACCTAAGGCCTCCACAGGGAGTGGACTCTGCGTGTCACCCCGCCGAAAGCTGGGCGTCCAAGGTCCCCGTGCACCAGGCTACAAAGGCAGGGCTGCACACCGTCCACAGTGTGAGCGGCGCCCTGGAGATGGCCAGCAGCCTCCCGCCTGCACGCTCTGCCTCCCCTCCCCATTGGGTCCTGGCTCCCCACCACCTCCCTGGCTCCATGGGCTCTGGTGGTGACAGGGCTCTCAGGTCCTGTGCAGATCTCTGCCTTGCCCATGCCCTCCCGTCCTCCCCATCCTTCCCTGGGCAGCTCCCACTCCTCCTCCCCAGCTTGGCACAGAAGCGCCTCCTCTGGAGAGCCTCTCCTCACCTTGCCGGGTGAGACAGATTCGGGTCAGTCACCACAGTGATAACAACATGTGAAATAGCGCGGTCTGGGGTCGCCCATCAGGCAAGGGGCGTGTGCCTTCGTGCCCGGCAGCAGCTCTCCTGCAGGTGCTGCTGTCACCCCCGCTTCTCATCTGAGGAAACTCAGGGTGAGTAAGTGGTCTAAGGTCACCTCATCGGGAAGAGGTGCACTGGGACCGCAGATCCCGGAGCACTGAGGCCTCAGCCCGTGACCCCACGCTCGTGGCCGTCTCCTGGCCTTCTGAGCTCCCCATGCACCTGTCTGTGGGGATCAGACTATTTTCCTCCCCGCACCCTCCCTCTGTCCCCTTGATGGTCTGTGAGGCTTGAGGGCACCAACAGGGTCTGCTACATGGCTGTGCCCTGTCGCCAGCCTGGGGCCAGCCAGGCACACGGAGAAGGCGCCTCACGACATGGACTCCAGGACTCAGTGAGTGTCTCGGAACATCCAGGCTGCCTCCAGCTCCCTGCCAGCCCTGCACCCTGCAGCCCTATTCTCATAGTGCCTTCCACAGTGGGGAGCAGGGTGGGGAGGCGGCCCCCATCCACACAGCTGGGCTGCAATGGGCAGACCCAGGAAAGGCACCCCAGCACCAAGCCCCAATCTGATGAGCCACCGTGACGGTGCAGCAGGTGTTGAGTCAGTGACAACGTCTCGGAGACCCCGCAGCCCCACACTCGCACCCCTCAGCTTCCTGGGCAGTCTCAACACAAGCCAGACCTCATCACCCTCACCCCCATGATGGTTTGAACGTGTTCCCTCCAAAACAGAGGTGTTGCTCATCATGTGATGGTATGAAAAGGTGGGGAGTTAGGAGGTGATGAGGTCACGAGGGTTCCTCCTTTCCAGCCTGGGCTGAAGCTCCGTATAAAAGAGGCTACAGGCAGCATCGCGCTTTGTCCCTGCCTGCACTTCTGCTGTGTGAAGACGCAGCTTCCTCCCTTCTGCAGAGTGCAGCCCTCACCAGACAACCGAGCCTGCTGCACCTTGGTCCTGAACGTCCCAGCCTCCAGAGCTGTGAGAAATACACCTCTGTCCTGTAGAAACTGTCCAGTCTCAGGTGTGTTGTACCAGCACAAGACGGACCAGGACTCCCTGCCAAACCCTGCGGTGACTCTTCCACATAATCCTAGCTAATCCTGAGTGACGCTTCCCACACGGGGCTCCCAGGAACCCCAGTGTGCTGGGAGGAGGACATGTGTGTTCTGCCAGAAAAGAGGAGCTCTCTGTTGAAATTCTCTGGGGGAACTCCTGGGTTTTATCAATTGAGAACACTGCAGGTTTTCTCAGAACCTCTGATAGATTGAGCCTGTGAGTCTCCACTACAGGAATGGAGCGCTTAGATTCCCAACCTTTTTAGACCATGAAAACACTTGGAATTGTATTCAGAGGACCACAGAAAAATTAGGAAGCCCTCTGCAGGCTTCCCAGGTGCCCTGGCAGTTGGTGCTCCCCATGGTGCTCCTGAGGCTCCACGGAGCCTGTTCTGGTGGCTATTGCATCTCTCCCTGCCACCTGCAAGCTGATGGCACGCAGGGCCCTGACTCCTAACCATGAACCTGGGGCCCAGTGCTGGTCTTCAGTGAGCCCCTGTCCGGCCACAGCAGAGCCTGCCTTCCTAAGAAGCACCCCAAACAGGGAAAAAGGTACAGCAGGTTTTCCAGCATTTTCCTCCACGCACAGAGTCCACCTGCACAGTGAGATGCAACTCAGAGCCGACTGCCTCAGGGGAGGCTGTTCTAGGGTCTGACCCCGCCGTTCTCTCCCCCAGGCAGCCTCTTCCTGGGGCGCCCCAAGCAGTTCAGGGACCTGCAGCCCGACCCTTCCCACACAGTCCTGTGGAGACATGCACTCCACCACAGTCGCAAGGAAAGAAGGCATCACCCAAGAGGGCACCAGGGCTGGAGATTTAGGGCAGAAAAGAGTGTCCTTCATCCAATACCCAGACAGAGCAGGGGTCCGAGGACCAGGGGAATGGGCACGAGACATCAGTTCTGAAGAGACCAGAGCTGGAAACAGTCCTAGATGAGGCCCCTCGGGTGGCCAGGAGACCACCGGGTTTCCCTTTTGACTAATTCTGTGACCTTGGGGACAGCGGTTTACCTTTCTGGGCCTCAGTTTCTTCATCTGAAAGACCAGACGGCTGGTGGGATGATTTCTGAAGGGCCACCCGGTGGTGCCCAGGGAAAGACGACCTCGAGCTCGGCCCTAACTCCCGGCCTTAGTTTCCCCAAGAGAAAGAAGCTTCACTTCCTCCCCGGCCCCAGAGCGCTTACCCAGCGGGCAGGCGCCTTTCTGCAGCTGGCGCACGGGCGTCCCGGAGAGCTGCAGTGCGCGGCGGCTGGCCGCCTGCAGCGCGCACACGTTGGCATAGGTGTGCCCGTCGGTGCCACACACGGCGTGCGTCCAGCGGCAGCGGCACAGGCCGCGCACGCACTCCAGGCTCTCCCCACAAGGCGAGTCCAGGGGGCTGCCGCAGGGCTCGCCCTCGCTGGCGGCGCACACCAGGCAGCAGTTGCAGAGGTCGGGCACGTAGCCGCCGGGGCAGCGGGGGCTGGGACACCGCGACACGTCGCAGCGCGCGGGACACGGCGCCGCGGGGGGCTCCCGGGCCAGCGCCAAAGCGGCCAACGCGGCCAGGAGCAGCGCTCGCGCCTGCATGGCGGCCAGGCCGGCGGCGGGTGGCAGCGCGGGAAACCGGGCGGGGGCCGGCGGGGGTCGGTGGGGACAACGAGGCCGCTGCGGGGCCAGGCGTCTACGGATGGGACTGGGGTGGGCGCGCGGTCACATGCGCGGGTGGCTCAGGCTAGCGGGCAGTCGGGACAGCAGGGGCATCCCCAGGGCGCGGGGAGAGCAGGGACTTCGGCTCCCTCCAGCCTGACGGTCCGCGGGCAGCGGGCCGGCGCCTTTAAAGGCGACCGCCCAGCCCGCCCTGGCTGGAAGGGGCGGCCCCGCCTCTCCGCCAGCCCCGCCCAGGCCCCGACAGGGCCCCGCCTGGCCTTCCGGGCCTGAACCCACCCAGCAGGCCTTGGGACTCTGGTCTGCCTGGTCGGGAAAACCCGAGGCTACAGACACGCAGTGGTCCTTTCTGGTGGGGACCCCCAGGCCCAGCCTATCCCAGTAAACCTTGGGGGATGCGTTTTCCCCGCTCTAGAGGGGTCTGTCCGGGTCCAGTCTCCTCTGTGCCTCAGTTTCCTCCTCCAGGAAAGGGGAATTGACAGCTTTTCTCAAGCTCATAGGGTCGCTGGAAGAATCACAGAGGCCAGGCCTGAGCAGCGTTCCCGAGTCCTGGCTGTCCAGGGAATGGGAAGCTGTTTCCATTCTCATCATTGCTCCTGCATTCTCTGCAGGGACCCTTCAGACCCAGCACGAGGGTCAGAGTCTGGTGACAGTGCGTCAGCTGATGGCGTGAAGGCTGCAGAGTCGGGGGAGAGGGCAGAATCCCCCCCTTGGAGGTGAATGTCAAACCTGGAGAGGATCTGGATGTGCAGCAGCGGGATGGGAAGGGGGACCTGGCGGTGACCTGGGTAGAGGCTCCCAAGCAAAAGCAGGTCCGGGTAGCAGGAGACAACCCCGCGTGCACAGCCTGGAGCTGCGATCTTCACACTTTGTAAGTCCCTAGTCCCCTGGGCTGCATGGCGAAGCCTGGGAGTCCTTCTCAGAAAGATGTCGTCAAGTACATTTAAATGCATAAAACAAAGACCACGGAGTCGCAAAGGGGAACAGTTCTATCAAAACACAGTTATCAAAATACATGAAACAATTCATGACAGTGTGGCCTATGTATGGGCTTCTTTATCAGCGTGTTAATTACAGGTTCTGGTCTGTCGTCTGATACCAGTGGACATTTCGTAGCAGCCCGGGGCAGAGGGCTGCCACTGGAGACACCTTCGGTGTGGGTGGTGACGTGGGGGTGAAAACACTCAGCCTCTACTGGCCATGGAGCCACAGGCCCGGCTGGCTGGGGTCAGCTGCACCCCCGAAGGAATGAATGCTGGACTTCAGTTGGAGCTGTTGGGATAACTTTTCCATCCAGTTTCACAGACACCCAAGTTAAGAATGGGGAGGGGCACCTCTGGTCCAGAGGGAGGGGGAGCTGGAGGTTAAAGGGCCTCCCGGAATGGGAAGGTGGAGGGGCCTGATCCCTCAGGGCCCTGGGTCCTTGAAGGACTGAGTACTGCCGAGTCGTCGGGCAGGGAGTGGCCCCATCAGACAGGGTGTCTGGGGAGTACAAGGTGGGAGGAGGCGGGGCCCCAAGTGTGAGCCTCCATAGGACCCAGAGAGAGCGAGAGTTTGAAGGGTCACAGGAGATGGGGAGAGAAGGGACCTGGGGCTTCTCCTCCTAAAAGTCCCTTTGACAACGGGCAGTAGCACCTGCATTTCTTCCTCTGCACACCTGAAGTGCATTTTGCTTTGAAGATGTGGAGAATTTCAGGCCATTTCTTGGAATGGCCCAGAATGCTAGGGGCTGGGGACCTCAGGGCCGGGTTGAACCTCCCTCAACCTTGGCCAGGGCTCTTGGTCCATGTCTCTGCAAGGTGGGCTTGCCTAAGGGGCAAGGAGAATTTTTCACGTGCCCAGGATGCCTGCCCCCCGAGTAAGCCTTGGTGGGGTACTGTGACCCAGAGCTGACTTTTCGGGGGACCTGTGCTTTCCTGCAGACACCTGGCCCTGAAGATCAACACTTTTCCATCCCTGGATCCTCCAGGGCACAGAAAACTAAGTCCCTGGGAAGGGCCCGAGAGCTCATTTCCCCTAAGCTTTTCATCCACAGATGGGGAAACTGAGTCTCAGAGAGGGTCCAGGACGGGCTGCTGCAGCAGGTCAGAGTTTGCACAGCCTGCCACAGTTTCCAAGGAGCCACAGCTGCTGATGTGTAGGCCCTGAGGCTGCTGGGGTGCTCTGCACACACTTGCCTCAGTCTTCAGGAGGCCCCTGAGAGGTGGGTGTTAGGATCCTTAGAACAGGCCGGGGGAATAGAAGGTCAGAGCTTCTGGCAGGTGGGCCTCAGATCTGGACCTGTCCTTAGGTCAAGTCCTTGCTTCTCCCTGGAGACCATGCTGCCCCCAACGGTCACCACCTTGATCTCCTTGCAGTGGGGATTTAGTCCCCTTGTACGGAGAGGGAAACTGAGGCCCAGAGTGAAAAGACCCTTCTCTGCTCTGCAGCTGGAATGCAGTTCCCTGGGGTCGCCTTTGTTCTTCCTTGAAATGGGCAGGGGCTCACAGTGGCTGCCTGGAGCTTGGCCAGAGTCCAGCACTGTCCTTAGGAGAGCCGCGCCCCCTGCTGCTCCCGCCCTGCACTGCCTCTCCCTCAGCAAACGTCAGGGCCTTCCAGCCCCTAACCCTGAGCACCTGACTTAGGGCCCAGGAGTAGGGTAGGATTCCCCAAGGGCCTGGGACCCACCCGGGAGGTTCCTCTGAGTCTCTGGCTTCCCGGTACGGGACTGCCTCTGTCGGCAGCCCAGAGCTCCAGATTCAGGCTCCGCCAGGTCAACGTGTGCGGGCGCGAGGCAGACCCTCCGGCCTGTGTTATCTCAGCTCATTCTTCAACAATGCCAGGAAGCTTGTTTAATTTACGTACATCCCTCCTTTATTCATTTCTACTTACTCCCCCTTGTCACCCTGCCCGAAATTTTGACAGTTCTTTACAAACAAGCATACGATGAGATGTTGCTTATCCTCAGTGGAATGGAATTCACTCCCTCCATGCTGGGCCTGGGCTGGGCCAGGGTCTGCCTCTCTCCGGGGGACTCTTGTCCCATGCCAGGACCCCATGGCCCCATCCCATCCCCCCATCTCTGCCCAGAGCTGGACAGCAGTGCCCATCCTGGGTCTGCAGGGGAGCCCTCCAAGCTGTGGGCAGGCTTGGCCCTTTGGCTTGACCCCTGCCCAAGTCCAGGCTTCGTGTCAGATGAGGTCATCGCTTACACCACTCCAGAGACCTCAGAGACCATCGTCAGCTGTGATAAGACGCGGTGGACTTGTGTGTGGGTGACTCAGAGGGTGGGCTCTCCTCAGGCAGATGGGTGGGGGGTGGGCGTAGGTTGTGACATGGGCCACCCTTTCTGCACCTCCCAGCACTGACATCAGCTCTGCCCTCCTTGGGTGCTTCTGTAAGCTCTGGGAACAACCCCTCAAGGGGAATGCCGGTTACAGCCATTCCACGGGTACAGAAAGCCGAGCTAGGGGAGTTTAAATGACTTGCCCAAGGCCCCTCAGCCTTTAGGTGATGGATCCAGGCTTAGGAGAAGTTGGATCTGACCGCAAAGTGTATGTTCTTCCCCCAGAACCACACTGCTGTTCCATACCCATTTTATGGAAGGAAAAACTGAGGCCCACAAAGGGAAAGTGGGTGGCTGAGACAACCAGGCTAACTGACCCTAGTAGGTCACATTGACTGAGCCTCTGTGATGTACTGCGGACTAGGGACTGTGCAGGTGTCTAGCCCTTACCACACCCTCTGAAGCAGGTCTTACTATTGCCATGCCCATTGCACAGATAAAGAAAGCAAGGCACAGGGAGGCCCAATAGCTCATCGCTGTGTCCAAGATCACAGTGAGTGAGCTGCAGCATTGGATTTGAACCCAGGCAAAGGGACTCATCTTGTACAGAAGTGACGTGGAGGCTCACAGGAGGAAGGCTGGGAGGAGGGGGAAGGAGCTGGGAGATGGCTTCGAGGGCCTGGAACCCGCCCTGACTGATGAAATGAAAAGATGAATCAGGGTCACGCAGCTGGGCAAGGGTCCTCTTTTCCTTTTTCACATGGCGCTCCTCCTGTGGCTGTCTGGAGCCTGAACTCTTCTTGGAAATCACCCCGACTCCACCCAGCCCTGCCAGGAGGGGTTGAATGTGAACCCCCTGGACCACAGTGGCCTCTGCCTCCTGGGAGCGATGTCCTGTCCAGGGAGGCGGCTCTCCCAGGACCGCCAGCCCCACCTGCCCACCCACGGTGCTGCTGTCCTGGAGGCTGCGCGGCCTCTGTCCTCCTTCTGAGGGGCCACTGGCCAGGGGTCATCTGAGGCCTCCATCCTCCAGTGGCAGCTGGGATGAGGTAGTGGCCTAAATTGTGGCTCTGTCCACCTGGGTGTCAGGAATAGGGAAGCTGTCCGGGGTGAGTAGGGAGGACGCTGCTCTGTGGGGTTGGGCTGGGGTCCGCTCTGTGGGGTAGGGCTGGGATCCGCTCTGTGGGGTTGGGCTGGGATCCGCTCTGTGGGGTTGGGCTGGGATCCGCTCTGTGGGGTTGGGCTGGGATCCGCTCTGTGGGGTAGGGCTGGGATCCGCTCTGTGGGGTTGGGCTGAGATCCGCTCTGTGGGGTTGGGCTGGGATCCGCTCTGTGGGGTAGGGCTGGGATCCGCTCTGTGGGGTTGGGCTGGGATCCGCTCTGTGGGGTCGACTGGGATCCGCTCTGTGGGATAGGGCTGGGATGCTTGAGCTGCCTCCACAGGGCTCCAGGGGCCTGGGGGACTGAAGAGGGCCGTGAAGGTGGGACGTCCACCCTGAAGGGCAAGGAGGCCTCAGGTGACCCTCGGGGCTCCTGCAGGGAAGCAGGTGCTCCTCAGGCACCCTCTCCACAGTGCGAGTGCTGAGCCGGTTCCCACTGCTCCCTGCCCAGGTGTGGTTGAATCCTGTGACCATTCCCATGTCCTAGCGAAGAATGCAGAGGCTCTGAGAGGTGAAGCGACCCCCCACCCCTCATACCTAAGTACCACCGCCTCTAAGACACCCTCAGGCAAAATGCTCCACAGCTCACACCCAGGGACAGCGGTCTCTATCTGAAACACACACAAGCTTCCCCCCACTGTCGTCTCTTCCCTGACCCAACCTGACCCCCTCCCTCCTAAGCCCTGGGAGTCAGCCCGACCCTCGTGCTAGAGACTCCACGGGTGGGGACAGTGGTGCATCCGGCCTCCCTGTTCCCAG